CATATCTGGCCGACCCAGGAGTTGTCTCACCGGTTGATCGGTTCGCACGATGATGGTGTGTGCCAGAAAGTAGTGTCTGAGCCTCCTCGCAGCGTTGACGAGGGCCAGTGCAACCTTTTCTATCTGTTGATACCTGCTCTCGGGGCCTTGTAGGGCTTTGCTCGTGAAATAGACGGGTTTCTGCCCGTCGGGAGTCTCGCGGACAAGAGCTGCACTGATGGCTTCGTTTGAAACTGCCAAGTATAGGTAAAGTGGCTCGTTGTCATCTGGTCGAGACAGCACGGGCGGTTGAGACAGGCTCTGCTTCAGATGGCGAAGTGCGTGTTCGCATTCCTCGGTCCATTCGAAGGCTGCTTCCTTTCGAAGGAGTTTGAAAAAGGGAAGGGCGTGTTGAGCGGACTTCGCGACGAAGCGTGAAAGTGATGTCAACATGCCGTTCATTATCTGTATCGACTTCTTCGACGTTGGAGTCGGGAGGTCGGCGAATGCTCGGCACTTGTCAGGGTTGGCTTCAATGCCTCGTTCTGTTAGATAGAATCCGAGGAACTTTCCTGCCTTAACCCCAAATGTGCACTTCTCGGGGTTGAACCTCATCTTGCACTGTCTTGCTTGGGCGAAGACTGTTTTGAGGTGAGCTGCGTGGTCGGTATCTGCTCGAGATTTGACGATCATGTCGTCCATGTATACCTCGAGCATGTCGCCAATTTGTTTGTTGAACACTTTGTTCATCATGCGTTGGTAAGTCGCACCGGTGTTCTTTAGTCCGAAGGGCATTACGTTGTAGTAATAGTTGCCCGAGCTGGTCATGAACGCCGTGCAGCGTTTGTCGCCCAGGGCCATTGGGATTTGATTGTATCCCGAGTAGGCGTCCATGAACGACAAAGTTTTGTAGCCGGCCGAGTTGTCGACCAGCATATCAATGTTTGGTAGAGGAAAAGCATCCTTCGGGCAAGCCCGATTGAGATCGGTATAATCAACACACATTCGCCATTTTCCATTATTCTTTTTGACAAGTACAACATTTGACAGCCAGGTGGAATACCGGGCTTCAGAAATAAAATTTGCCTCTAGGAGGTCTTTTACAGCTTTTTCAGCAGCCTCCGTTTTTTCTGGAGACTGCCTACGCCTACGTTGTACTACGGCCTTGGCGGCTGGATCAATGGCGAGGTGATGACAGGCGACCTCAGGGTCGAGTCCGGGCATCTCTGCAGCGCTCCAGGCGAAGAGATCAGCATTCTCGCGCAGACAGGCCTTGATTTGCTTCCTGGCCAAGTCGGGGAGGTCTTTGCCAATCTTCACTCCTTTGGTCGGGTCTGCTCCGAGGGGAACGAGTTCAAAATCGCCGTCCGGAATAGGTCGGAGGGGGATTTGCTCGTTGCTGGCCGGCTCGTCTTGGTCGAAGCGGGCGTCGAGGGCTATGGAGTCGACCTTTGGTGGAGCCTTCTGAACTTCTACCTCTGAAGATGCTCTGTCGGGCTCTTGCTTTGTCTTCTTGATGGGCCTTGTGCTGGGACCCACGTCGACAGTATCCCGTCCTCTTGAAGCGGCGTTGAAGCACCTGCGGGCAGCAGCGAGGTCGCCCTGGATGGTGGCTACCCTTGCCCGTTTGGTGTAGAACTTCATTTTGAGATGGACAGTTGAGGGAACCGCTGTCAGCTCCGCCAATGTCGGCCTCCCCAAGATGCAATGGTATAGGGATGGACAGTCAATGACGAGGAAGCGGACTTTCACCTGTCTTGTAGCAGTCCCTTCCCCGAACGTCACGAGGAGCTCGACATATCCCCAAGGTTTGGACGTCGAGCCGTTGAAGCCTTGAAGGTCCGAACCTATATATGGAGACAGATGTGAGTCGTCCAGTTGTAAGGTCCGGAACAGCTGGGTGTACATCACGTCGACGGAACTCCCTTCGTCGACCAGGATGCGATGCACATCAAAATTGGCCATCTTTGCCCTTATCAGCAAGGGGATGACTGCGTTCGGTGCTCCGCCGGGGAGCTCTTCCAAGTAGAAGGTGATAGGCTCTGATCTGCCCCTCACCATTTCGAAAGTCACAGTTTGTGGAGGAGCTTTGTCGACCAGTTCGTCCAACTTCCTCTTGGCTGAGTTGATGGTGAGGTCGTTGAACCCGCCCCCGTTGATGACCATGGAGGAGGGGAAGTATTCCCACCTGCTGTGTGTAGTCAGGGGCTCCTGCAGGAGCTCGGGAAGTTCGAAATCCTCGGGCCTGGTTACCGAGAAGGCGGTCTGGATTGGCACCGACTCGTCAGATGGTCGGGCATCTTCTTCGGGCTCCTTTGCCTCGCGGGCTTCACGACGGGGAGCGTCGTTTCGCCTGTACTGTGCAAGCCTCCCTCCTTTGATGAGGGTTTCAATGGCGTCCTTCAGGTGGACGCAGTCCTCTGTCAAGTGACCATGACTCCTATGGTACTGACAGTATTTGTTTTTGTTTACTCCTGGCTTGGCAGGAGCTGGTCGGGGACGCTTGACGCCACCGTCTTTAAAATCTGTGCTTGCACACTCCGCCAGAATACGCTCGCGGGAAGCCGTGAGCGGAGTGTACTCAGTAAACCGGCCCGAGGGGCCCCTTTGTTCCCGGACCTCCCGGGGTCTGTCTTCCTTCCTCTTCTCTCCGGTGCGTCGGGGAGGAGGGTCTTGTCTCGAGCTGCTACCATGATTGCGAGCCCTGGAGTCTCGTGCCCTGTTGGCAGCTTCTCTCTCCTCGTAGTCCATATATGCTCGGGCTTTGTCGAGGAGAGCATCAAAAGTTGCAGGTGGCTCAATGCCCACAGCTTTCCTGAATTCTGTGCCGGGGAGGAGGCCCCTCTCCAGCAAGTACCTCTTCATATGGTCCGCGCAGGGGACCTGTATTGCTTCCCGGTTGAAGCGGTTGATGAATTCCCTCAAGGTCTCATCATGTCTTTGGATGATGGCCTCGAGGGCTGCCTCGGTCTTTGGGTGGCGACGAGAGGCTGTAAAGGAACTGATGAACTGGTTCTTCAAGTTCCGCCACGAGGTGATGGAGCCCGGGGCAAGTCCTTTGTACCAGTCCATGGCCGCCTTCCTGAGAGTTGTTGGGAAGAGACGGCACTTGATGGGCCCCCCGACATTGTGATAGTGGAGCATGGCTTCGAACCCGTCAATATGGTCGACTGGGTCCGCCACTCCATCATACTCCTTTAGGTGTGGGGGCTTCTCCATGCCCGGGGGGATAGGTGCGTCCATGATGGCTTGCGACAGGGGACCGCGGGGGTCGTCCTCGTCGCTCCTTTCTGGAGAAAGAGAAGGGGTCCTGTAGTGGTGTCTGGCACGCTGGTCGTGCTGAGATTCCCTCGAGCGTGATGCTCGGTTGTTGAAGGTCACACGCCCGTCTCTGTTGTGCCTCCTGTCGTGCCTTGATGGGTCGCGACTTGGCTCTTCGGCAGGGATGACGGGCTGTCTTTCATACTGGGGCCGCCTCTGCCTTGGTGGGGGAGAGGGGCTCCTAGAGTTCTCCCTGTAATGTCTCCGCGGGGGAGTAGGGTGTCGAACTTCTTCGACCCGAGGAGGTGGAGATGGTGGCCTCTGATGCCTCCTCGGGGGTCGTCGGTCATTTTCAAGTGCCCTAAGTCTTTCTCCTTGGGCGAATAGGAGATAATTTGTTTGGTTGATGGCCGCGAACAGTGCCTGAGTCGTGGCATCTGCCCCGGCAGGGACTTGGACTTCATAGAACCGGGCAGCTTGGCGATAGGCGAGAGCCTCCGGGTCGTCTTCGAGTCTTGGAGGAGGTGTCGAGGACGACGCAGTGTTCCCGTCCCTGCGGGTGGAAGGTCCAGGGGCGGTTGTCACGGGGATGGTATTGTGGCCGGCATCACTGGGATTGTCCAGATGCCCATTCTTGTCCGCGGGACCGTTGTTGGTGTCGAGGACGCGGGTGTGTTGTTCTTCACGAGTTGGGGTAGCCATGACAGTGAATGGATTGAGCTTTGGTCTTTGAAACTGTTCGTTAGACGGGGAAGCTGTTTCCCACAGACGGCGCCACTGATCTGACCTGACCAGAAGGTTTGGACCGTCACGGCTTACTCCGAGCTGAAGGCTTTTTGAACGAGGAGGGGGGGTACCTGCAAGGCACTCTGATGCTAAAGTCAGTGGGAGTACGAGCAGATAATAGAGTTGAGGTTAGAATGATGAATACCTGACCCTCTGGAAACAGAGGGTATTTATAGCCCCCAGCGCTGGGCCAAGGTTCCTTCATTGGGCCGGGCGGATTTGGCCCAGTGGAGGAACTGCCAGGTTCTACGTGGGTAGTGGGGACCAGCACGTGGTCCCCTTCCTGGATGTGCTGCGTGAAGTGCGGGCGGACAGAGACGCGGTCTTTACGGAGTATCGTTGGGGCAACGGTGGACTGAGTCTGCCCTAGCCGGGTAGCTCGAGCCATGTCGAGCTGCGCAGCACGGTACCGAGCTCGACGCCAAGACCTCGAGCTGGACAGCGAGTGTCGAGCTGGAAGCCAGTACATAGAGCTGTGCGGCAGGGTGTCGAGCACGGCTTCATCGCGTGGGCTGGACACCGAGATGTCGAGGTGGACATCGTGGTGTCGGGCATAGACGTGACCCCCTTTGCCCAGTGTGGTCCTTAGTGAGTCCCTTTGGGTTGGGCCTTAGTAATGCTTTTGGGCCTGTCGGGCCCAGTCCAGAACAAAATCCATTCAAGTTCTTATCTTGATTCAAGTTTGACAAATGGATCTGTATTCTAAAGATTGAAAGATTTGGTCACATTTACAAGAAATTTCAAGGCATAACCCAAGTTCTAATACAAGTTCAAGAATACTCCAAGTCATTACACTACTTCCATTTACATTCCACCGTTTACATACAACAAGAATTCCTATATGGACAAGAATCCTATATGGACACTGAGCTTGAACTTATTCTTGAGATTGCTCCAAGTATTTTCAACCATGCTTCATGATCTTTGTGTTTAGCAACTTGGCATCATACGTCACAACCAACCTCTTGTTAATTTCAAATCTCCCAAAACTTAAAACAACCATTGGTCGTAATTCGCTTCACTTCCCAGTCATCATCATCTTTGCCTTGCCAAAAAGGCTTACATGTATCCTGCCCAAAAAAAACAGACATGTCATCACTACATAGAATTATACAAGCTACAAAGCAAGATTCCAAAATCAAAAGAGAGATAAAATACACAGTATCAGTTCTGCTATGGCGGCATACGTGACAGTTCCATAAACATGAACCAAAACTACACAAAAGGGAACCAAAATGCATACATACTCACACCATGATATGTACCTCATAGCAGCCACATACGTGAACAAGGGACGCATGGACATATCAGATACACATTCAACTTAGCAATCCATATACACACATCACTTGCAAAACCTGTACCCAAATCCAACCAAAACTATTAGCATCCTATAACCCAAATAGTTTTTATCCAATCATCAAATCCAAAGTACCGAAATCATAAAAGTAGACTGCTGACCTACATTAGTAAACTATTCAACATAAAAAAAAATTGTTAACAAAACCACAAACAGAATCACTAACTGTAGCTGAAAACAGTCTAACTAACTACTAACCAACTTTTAAACTAATTGCAGCTAACAAAAACTAACAACTGATTTCTAACAGTTTCTAACCATAATTAACCTCTAACCAACTGAAAAAACTGAATTCAACCCGAATATAAACTCGGCTCATAGCGGAATAACAACTAACAGTAGCATTAACAGAATTTCAACTAACAGAATTTCAATAACAGAATTTCCAGCTCAGCAGCTAACCAACTTCTAACAGAAAAGCTAACTGATCTGTAACTAACTCTCAAACTATCCTCTAAACAACTCTCTAACAAAACTTCTAGCAGAGATATAACAGAAAAACAGAAAGAGAGAGGAGGGGGATACGATTCATTGACACCAAAAAAAAAAAGTCACAGAAGAACCATAGAAAAAAGACTCACCTTCAATCTTCATTATCCCTCTTCAATCTTTCCCTCTGAATTCAATCTACATCATTCTTCAGACTCTTAGCTTCATTTTGTGCATTTTTCACTCTCAAACATCACCCTCACTCTTTACCCTCTCTCAACCATCCTCCTCAAACTTCCAAAACCTATATAACCTCCATCACATCACCATCTCTGGAATCACCTTAGAAACCTATAGAATCAGTAGAAGGAAGATCGACGAGGAGGATGGCATTTTTTTTGTTTGATTCCGGGCAACAACCGTCGTAGCTGCCGTCGTAGGCATGTCGGCACGACGTTGATTTTGAAACGATAAAGAGAAGGGAGTAGAGTTTGTTTAAAAGGAAGTCAAAGGTCGTAGCATTGAACGCGGCGTTTTAGATGTTTCTTCACTTTATCTTTATATTTCATTTTTAATACTTTGTAATGTTGAATAAAATTTGATGATGAGAAAAATCTGATAGTACTTGCTGAAACGCACTGGGCCGTAAACCGGATTTACTACACTATACCCCACTTGGGCCCGTTGCCACACGGTTTTTGGCACTATTGGACTTGGGGAACAAAAAACATCACTTCTGGACTCATATTGATGGGCCCAGCGCCTGCTCCTGCAATACACTCTTATCTTGACTTTACACCCCTTGTTTCCTTTATTTTCATTTTGTCATTTTTTTAATTTTAATTTCTCTTTCATAATTTTTGTCAATAAAAGTACATGATAAACAGATATAAAATCAACAAAATTTGTTAGACCTCTTTAATTGATTTTAGAAATTAATTCTTTAGTTTGTTTTTATCTTAGTTGGATATTGTTTCTGACTTTGTTTGTTTCTTGGTGAAGCTTGCTCGACGCGTACTCCTTGCTTCTCTATCGCTTTCGTCCGCTTTTGATGATTGGCTTGCTTGTGGTAGTCGCCGCTTCTACCCTTGTATCTCTCCACACTTTACTGTATTTCTTTACCACTTCCTAGAGATCATGAGAAGTATGACTTTATTGCCTTCTGATGCCATGAGAAGTAAGGGAGAGATGTATGAAGGGGATCTCCATTGTTGATCATGTCAGAAATCCCTCTGGTTTATTTAAAGACCCGTTTAGGGCAATTACGTATTGTGTGCATTTTGTTTGCTATTTGTGGTTGTTTAAAACCTTACATTTGAAGTAGGTATTCCACACGTGTGTTTAAATTTATGCTCGCATATATTCCCCCATCCCTTATTGAAGTCCTAAAAAAGAGGCGAGCGGGGAGGGTTCGCAATCAACCCCCACAATTTCGTCTGTGTTATCCTTAGCTTGTGACGCACCATAATGCTTCGGAGTTGTGCCTGCTCTTGTTATCGAGTCGTCAAGTGGGGAAGGGTTTTGCAATCAAATCCCCACGCTTTGTCAAGATTTCGCATTGGTCGATGTTGATACTCTGTGATTGTTCATACTGCCTTTTGTCGTCTACCTCGATCTCCTATATCTTGGTTAGGTGTTCAGTCACTTTGGACATCACATTTTTATTTTACATCCTACTCTCACTTGTTTGTCTCGGGTGATACGCTCCCCTTGGCTAAAGCATTTCGCTTCTTTTATTTACCATTTTATGTGTGCGATCTTTCGAGCTTTCTTGTTTAATCGCTTTCCATACCATGTTCCCTTAGGACGTGCTTGTTCCCTTCGGATGCAAGTTAGACCTTAGGTTGTTAACCATCCATGCTAACATTAGGCAGTGTTTCATTTTGTTAATCCAAACCTTAGGACCATCATTGTATGATAACATTGGGTTAGAAATAGGCTAGTCCCCCATAGACTCTTTTCTTCCCCTTTCTACATATGCATTTAAAACTAAAACTTTGCTTTTCTTAGCAAATCATAAAATATGCTAATCACACTTAAACCCTTTTTCAAGGTAAAAAAATACAAACCAATCAAATCTGACATCTTGCTTTTAGGGAATAACTCAAAACCATTTTCAAGTAAGGAAATGATTAATTTACTTATGTGCCAACGCGTGAGTCTCCAAAGGTCGGGCTGCGGTAGAAGGCGGAATTAACATTGTTCATAAAAAATACAAAACAAACAAAAACATGTGAGCCGAACTACGGTAACTCTGATTCCTCAAAAAGGATACGTAGGCATTGGGGTAGGACCCAAGCAAGTACAAATTTATTTTCCCTACATTATTTTCTCCTTTCTTTTGCATGCATTCTTCTTCATATTAAACAGTAAGAATAAATTAAACACACACATAAGATAGACAACAAGAGTGGATACCGTAGAGTACTACAGGCGGGTGGGGTGTTAATACCTTCCCCTTACGTAACAGACTCCCTTACCCAATCACTTGGTCGCAAGACTGTGACTTATCCCTTCTCAGGTTTTCTCGATGTTTACATATCCCTTCACGTGGGATAAAAGACGTTTGATGGCGACTTCATTGTCTGGCAATTTTCAGTCGGTTGTTTCACCCCCGAGAAAGATCCCCTGGACGGGATGACCGCATCTTCCTCCACCCGCTCGCAACCACGCGATGACGTCCACCATCCTCGGTAGAATTACGAGCCAGCTGCGTATCAGGAGATACCTGTTCCCAAAAATGCTGACGCCACGACTAGAGCCTTATTTGTGGTGATCAACCAGACAAACTACATGATTTTCGCACAGTGTGAGCACCTACTGATGTTGGATCAAACTCGTCGGTCCCCCATAATTCACCAAAGACCCAATTCTCGAACTCCTCCTCCCCGACAGAATAAGGACCGCTCCCAATCTCCCCCACAAATACACATACGAGATGATTCTCGAAGCCCTTCTTCCTGCCAAACTTGGCGGGGTCCTACATTGGAGATGACCCAGCCCGAAGCTGTCAAGAAGCACGGTCATACCCCTTCGTGCAAAGAGCGACGATCTCCTGAACATAAAAGAAACAGGGGCGAGGAAGAGAAGAAGTCTCGGCTGATGAACCCCCTCATGACCAATACCGACACAAAGACTAACGTTATTATCGGTTTCTATCTCGCTCCCCAGAAAGAAGCGACAAAGATGACCCCCACGGTCTGCTGTCCCAGGCCATCATGGAGGCCCTTATTCCTAAAGGGACTGAGAAGCCTCCCCTTCTGAAGGAATACAATGGCATCACTGACCTTGTCGACCATATTGACGGCTTTAAAGCCATGCTTTACTATCACAACATCGGGGGCCCAATTAAATGCAGGTTGTTCCCCGTGACACCGAGGAAAACGACCATGGATTGGTATAAGAGCCTACCCTCCAGATCGATCACCTCGTGGAGAAATCTGAAGAATTAATTCATCAATAGCTTCACTGCATCTCATCGGCACCCAAAGACCGAGGCTGCCCTCGAGGCAATCATCTAGAGGAGCCATGAGACCCTCAGAGAATACATTGACCGGTTCAACTGTGAGGCCATTCAGGTTCCCTGCACCAATAACATGAAGAGATACTTGCTCGATAGGGGACTCCTCTTGGGCACTGAATTTAGAAAGGCCGTCAGCATTGAGTCCCCCCAGGTCTTTTGATGCACTCCTTGAAAAATCTCGACGTACATGGACTACGAGGAAAAAGAGGCCGCTAATAACGCTCGCGATTCGAGGAACTGCGAACCAACTAACGTCCCACGGCACAATGAGCGGGCTCTTCTTGACAAACAGGGGAAGATAAAAGGGAGGAGAAACCCTGCGTCCCCCGTGAACATAGAGGACCAGCCAGGCAGTTCACCAAGTACACCCCGCTGACCGTTTCCTGTGAACGTATCCTTGCAGAATACTCCAATGGTGAGTTTAGCGATAGCGGGGTTAGGTGTCCTCGAGCCACACCTATAGAGCCCGGGGCCAACAGAATAAAATATTGTCAATACCACCGGAGCCATGGTCACCTGACCGAAGACTCCATCCACCTGAAGGATGCCATCGAGACTCTCATCAAGGCGGGGAGACTCGGGAAGTACAAGAGAAATAAAGCCCCTCGCCAGGACACCTGTGAGGTTAAAGAAATTGGGTAATATTTACGACCATCCAATGACTCTAGCCTTCTCCAGGTAGCCTTCTGTGTCTCAAGGCCCGAGGTCTTCCACATCCCCGAGAGTCTTGAAGATGACGAACCCTTGTTCACCCACAGCAGATGGGAGAAGTTCCCTTCTACCATGGTCATATCTGGTGGAGGATTCACTGACATCACAGTGAATTCCGTAAAGAGGAAACTCAACGAGCTGGTGGATGCAGCCTTGATCTAGGATATAACCCTTGAAAGATTCAAGGGAGAATATGAGTCGATCACCTTCTACCTCGA